CCTCCCTTCTCCCTTTCTTGGTGTGTGTGTGCGCGTGTGTGTGTGTGTGTGTGCGCGTGTGTGTGATTTAAACCGGATGCAGGGCGTCCGTGGTACTTGGGTGAGTAGTTACTGACAGTGCTTTATCCTTCGTGCGGGGATGGGAGGGGTAGCAGTGAGGCTCCATTGCACTTTGACGAGCCTCCCCCTCCACCGTGGAGTGTCCACAGGGTTCATTGTGGTTACAAGACTGTGTGTAGGGTAAACAGGGAAAGGACATGAGGAAGCTTTGTGAGAACTCGGGTTGCAATGTTCCTTGTGACAGTGAAGGCACTTTGAAGAGGCTTTTTCCCTCCCTCTTCATCTTCTCTGTTCATGTTGCTTTGAGAGTTGAAATTGAAGTCAAGTTGTTCATAAAGAATGTATGAAGCTTCTCAACTTGAAACGTGTGTATATTTCACTTTCTTTTATGGTTGTTGAGATCTAGGCATGTGTGCACTACTCAACATAGTCTTTATTTTGGCTTTCTTTGGACAGTGACTTATATCTGGTGAGGGGAGAGAACTTTCTCCTTTTTAAGTCTCTAAAAATATCTATTTTCCTCTGTAGATTTGAATACTTATCAGTCCTCAAATAGTAGGGCTCTTGGTTGGAGGTAACTGTTTTCCAGATCCTGTAAATTTGTTCATTTTTCAGCCGAACGTTTAATGAACAGATTATCAGTAAAAAGTTTTGATAATGAATGTGTGCTAAAGCATTTATAATATTACATTTGCACATATTGAAGTTTACAATCTGGAATTTTAAAATGTTTATTTAAATAGTCTTCTTCCTAACAGTAAACATATATTGATTTACCTGACAGAGCAGCCTGTGAATAATGTGACAGTTTTAATTATTCTTGAGATTTTCAATGAGCAGGTTGGGTAATTGTAATGCTGTTCAGGCTAATACTTTGTAAAATAAGAGTTTTGTTTTGTTTTTAAAGAAAAACTTTCCCCCTGTCAATTCATTTCCATGTGATTGCTATTTTAAATGAAGATGATACTTTGTTCTGAAGTCTTTCTCAGAGCACTCAAATTCCTTCATATTTACTCGCCCCCTCCCCCAATCTAGATTCCATGCAAGTCTCTAATACTAACTTGTATTTTTTTTCTGTTCAGATGAGTGTCAAATGCCTGAACACTTTTGGATGGTGAAGCTCCTGGGTCCCATAAATTCTCTGAAGTTAATAGGAGTTTTGCTGTCTAGAGACAGCTTTAGACCTTATGCTATTTACATAATAGGTTTTCAGCTGAGTAGCTTATATGTTATAATGTTATGGTTTAATATTTTTACTTGCAGTGTCCAAGGACTTTTTTTTTGAGGCATTTTACTTCTTATAATTATCTCTGATTCAGTAATTCAGACTTCCACTCATCAGTTGATTTGAGAGCAGGGCTTAACTGGAATGCTATCATCTATTTTTAAAAACACATATGTGATACAAAAGGTGCTTTTAGAGATTCTTTGGGCTCAAGCATGTCAACATTATTCATATGGATTGAGAAAATAATAACCAGAAATACTATCAAGTGATGCATTTTTAAGTTTAACCCAAGGGTAAATACTTAGCACTTTGTTTATTCTTTCTGTGATATTTTTCCTCGGAGAGGACTATATTGTGTATTGGTATTCTTCTGTGTTCTCAGTTTTTAGAGTAATAGAGATCTCTGAAACTGAGTGACCACACTTTTACACTAAAAGTATTAAATAGAAGTCATTTGTAGCTTATTTTAGTAGCTGAATATCTGTGATTCATTATATGTCATAATACCTAGTTTAATCTTTTTAGGTTGTTTTGCCAATGGGTTGCATTAAACTGTATAGAGATATTTTTGTAGTACATTTACATGTACTAGTATAATATAGTAAACTAAAGCATATTACTAAAATTCATCATTCCATAATTTTTTCATTATATATGATAGTTATGCCTAATTTAAAAAACAATATTTTTCTAGTATTCAAGTATTCTTATATTCTATGTAGATACTCAAAAGTTTTATAGTTTATAAGTTTCATATATGTTAACCCTAAAGAAAAAATATTTTTTATCCTAAAGTTAATATGGTATTTTTTTTATCATTAAGAATTAAAATGAATGAATCATAAATCAAGATGGATATAACGTATTATTTAAATGACATGTGTGTGTTACTTTTTGGTAACGCTTTCTTATTCTTGAGAAAGTTGATTTTGTGTGTGCTTTCCTCTAATTTGAAAAACAAGTAAGTAGGTGGAATATGATTTTGCTTTTCAAAATTTATGAAGAGTGTGTATATGTGTGTATTTAAAAGGGTGGATATAGCATCAGATGTATGGGAAGAAGTAAAAAAACCCCAAACTTTTCTTAACAGCCTAATAGGAATGTTACTTTGTTCTTGGTAGTATAGTGAGACTTTGTTATAAAAAATGAGAATACCAAAGTAAACCTTTAAATTATGAAGACTGTTGGTTTTTTTTGTTTTTGTTTTTATGTTGAAAATTAGCCTAAAAATCTACTTTCAGTTACTTTAAAAATAATTTCCCCAATGTAACCATTTGCCTTCAACTCTTTGGTATAAATTTCCACTGGCCATCAAAAACCAGATTTAAATTCCTTTCTGTTCACAGGTGCATAGTGTTCCCATATTTTGGAAGTCCCAGATTAAGTGGATTTGACTAATTCTAGCTTGTTAGGGACAGATGGCTGTGTTAAACAGGTGTCACTTTCTTTTCTAGTGCATTGTGTTGAGACTTCCAGTGGTTCACAAAAGAATTGTCTAAAGCAGGTGGCATCCTTTGCTTTAGTCCTTAGTAAAATATACTTTTGGAGTTATTTTCCTAGGAAAAGTTTTTTGTGTTTGTTTTTTTTTAAGTAAAAGTTTTGAACTATTCAAATTCAGGTTTATAATTTAACACCTTTTATTTCTGAATATTATTCTGTTTTCAGTCTGTGTAAGTTGCAGATCCTTTCACAAAACACTTAAAAATTGTTATATTGTAATGGAAAATTCCCTTTGAATCCAGAAAAAGTACTCAGGAGCACTTTATACAATAAGTCAAATTTATCTGAAGCAAGAGGCTAAGGCAGATTTGAATAAAGTAAAATTTGGTTAACATGACAAGTTAACTTTTGCCATCCCATCCATAAAGAATTTTTTTTTGATAGCATTATTTTAATTTGAATGATAAATGTTGGAAACCAGTGTTGTTTTTGTTGCTGCATTATTTTAAAACTAAAACATTTTCCTCACTTACTTCAATTGTTACTATAAACTTTTTAGTGCTCTTTTTAAATGAAAATTATTTTTAAGCATTATGTTTAAAAATATGTACTGGAGTAAATAAAAGTATCAACTTACTGATTTCTAAAGTTCATTTTTACTCAGATTCTATCCTTTTTTTTTTTTTTTTTTTTTTGGGGGAATTTTTTTATCAAGGTTAGTGTTTTGTTGATGTTGTTGTTGTCCTCTCTTAACAACTTAAATATTTTAGTTCAATCTGACAGCCTTGCCTTTTAATTGGTATCTTTACACTATTTACATTTATGAGATTATTGGTATCATTGGAATTAAGTTCGCCCTCAAACTAATTGTTGTCTATTTGACCCATTTGTTCTTGTCCCTCCCTGTCATTATTTTTATCTTTACTACCTTTTTTATTAATGGCATGTTTTTATGATTTTATTTACTCTAATTTCCTCTTGAATTCCTGTTCGACGGCTGAATCATTAGCCTTTTTTTTTTTTTGGTGGGAATTTTATACATATTATAACAGATGCACCAGAGGGTGCTGTGCTGTTTGTAACATGAAATTATTATCAGTAAGAATGTGAACTGATTGGAACTTTTGTTTAAAGGAAAATTTGTAATTATATGTGCATTTAAGCATTTGATGGCCCTATTTCTATGGAATTTAAATTTAATATACTGTCTTAATTGGCAGTTTTATATCAAAGCCTATCTTTATTATAACAGATGCACCAGAGGGTGCTGTGCTGTTTGTAACATGAAATTATTATCAGTAAGAATGTGAACTGATTGGAACTTTTGTTTAAAGGAAAATTTGTAATTATATGTGCATTTAAGCATTTGATGGCCCTATTTCTATGGAATTTAAATTTAATATACTGTCTTAATTGGCAGTTTTATATCAAAGCCTATCTTTCTCTGTACTAATTTATGTTAGCACAACAGAACAATATCAAGACTGATATCTTTGGCATATCTGAATGTCAGCATTAGTCCTATAGGCATGTATGTTGATCATCATCTTATACAGGTATTTCAGTTTCCCTCTGAAAATTTTCATTTCACTTGAGAATCATACTATTTAGTCAGTGTAGCTTTTGTACTATGTAAATTTGGTATTATTGGCACATATTGTACATTCTTAAAACATTTTTATATGACATGATTAGTAATATGCTTTCTATGGCATAATCTAAAAAAAGCTACCTCAGCCAGCTGGTGTGGCTCAGTGGTTGAGTGTCGACCTATGAACCAGGAAGTCTCTGTTTGATTCCCAGTCAGGACATATGCCCAGGTTGCGGGCTCGATCCCTGGTATGGCACGTGCAGGAGGCAGCAACCAATGATTATATCTCATTGCTGATGTTTCTATCTCTCTCCTTATCCCTTCCTCTCTGAAATCAGTAAAAATAAAAAATAAAAAAACTACCTCAAAAGTATAAATGACAATAATATTTATGAGGTTAATTAAATCAACAACAATAATATTATTAAAAATTGTCTGGAGAATTCAGTCCCCACTTCATGCTGTTGAAGTAGTCTGGTTTGAATATTTAATTGGGCTTTATTATCTGAAAACTTTTAGATTCCCTGCCTTACTGTTTATCCTATAATTCCAAACTGGAAATGATCTATCTTAATATTTGTTCATTGAGAGCTTTTTTAGGAGAATTAATTCAATTTAACCTCTTGGGCTCTGGTTGCATCATTGGTTTTCTTTTCTCAGCAGGGATATACTAAAAGATATATAACTGAAATAGTAGTAGTCAGTATCTTCCTTAAGTAGCTTAGAAAATGATGGTTACATCATATAAACTTTTTTCCTCCAGATAATGGACTTACCTATACTGTTAATCTCATTTAACTACAATCAGCAAAATATGCTATTTTAATGAGGTACCACTATCAGGAATAGTATTTCATATGTTGGAATGCCTCAGAGAATCCAAAACATGTAGAGGTAATAACAACATTTTTAAATACTAGTCTTATTAAAATAACTTAGACATTTGTCTTTTAAAATGTGGTCCTAGCCCTAACCGGTTTGGCTCAGTGGATAGAGCATCGGCCTGCGGACTCAAGGGTCCCAGGTTCGACTCTGGTCAAGGGCATGTACCTTGGTTGCAGGCACATACCCAGTGGGGAGTGTGCAGGAGGCAGCTGATCGATGTTTCTAACTCTCTATCCCTCTCCCTTCCTCTCTGTAAAATATCAGTAAAATATATTTAAAAAAATGTGGTCCTACTATTTACCATACAGTTTATGCTGTTATGATTTTTAAAGTATATTATATGACATTGTTTCAAAACTTTTATATTTGAAGTATTCTATTTCACATCAAAGTATAAAATGTACTTTAATGAAAAACAAATCAGTTAAAATTGAAATATAGTCAGAGTATCAAATAGGTATATATTTTGTTCTTTAACCCTTTTCGGTCCAACGTGGAGGCTGACTTGACAAACTAGGCGCTAGGAGCAGGTCCAACGTCGAGGCTGAGGTCGACACCGCAAACCGGTTCAACATTCAATCCCGTCAATTAATTTGGACCAGACTGTTTGAATTCCAAAAATAAAATTGGACCGCAAAGGGTTAATATGTTCTTTTTAAATTGAATTTAGATAGAGAGAGAGAGAAACAGAAAGGGAAGCATCGATTTCTTTGTTCCACTTAGTTATGCATTCATTGGTTGCTTCTTACATGTGCCCTGACCAGAGATGAACCTGCAACCTTGGTGTGTTGGGACTGTGCTCTAACCAACTAAGCTACCACGCCAGGACCTGTGTTTTGTTTTGTTTAAGTAGATCAAAGGAAGTATACTGGTTAAGAACACAGGCTTTGGAGTCAGATTTCAGTTAATCTTATTAGCAGTGGGACCTTGGACAGGTTATTTACCGTTACCTAGACTCAGTTTTCTCATCTGAAAAATAGGGTCAATCTTACCTGCATTATAGGTTCTGTGAAGATTAAAGGGAATGATTTATGTGATGTGCTTTGCTCAGTATTTGACACAGAATACATGCTCAATTCTTATTATTAGGGACTACTAGAAGATACCCATCCTAATCTTTTAGCCATCTAAGAATCCTTTTAATATGCACTTGACCACCTCCTTCCCAATGGGCTTTAAGTTGCGAAAGACTTCGCCCACTAATATACATTAATTGAATAATTCTTCCTTCCTCACCACTTTACAAAATAAACACACAAAGCTACCAACCACAGGATTGGATTGCCTTTTGATAATCAGTCTTATTATTTCACTGAATTAATAGGATACTAGTTTAAAGTGATATTTTAGTTTTACACTGCAGCCTTGTTTTAATGGATTTCTTTTACTATATTTGGATAACTCTCCTGGTTCAGGTATCTTAGACTGAGAACTAATGATGCAGCATTTAATAAACTCTTACACTTGTCATTTCATTTTCCAGTATATATTTTCCTTTTCATATTTGTTATACATGAATTCATTCGAAAACATTTTGAACCTTATTTATAAGCTTTATACAAACCACAGTCATTAATATAAAAGAATGGCAATAGTTGTTGAATTCATCAAGAAATTATTCTATAATTTTATAATACACTGCTTACAATTAATTTGCTAAGGGTAGCAATAAGTAATTTCGGAAGAATTTGCCAGCCCTAACTTTGAGATATAGTAACCTTGGAACATTATGCAATAAAACATATAATATTAAATTGTAGAGGAGAAATGTCAACTTCAGCTCCATTTCTTTGACAATTAAAGATGTTTAAAGAAATATTGTAGTTGGCTGCTATATATAAAGTTGGTATTTAGTAATTTACAATATATATTTTCTACACAATTTGACTAAGAATGGATTTTTTTTTCTTATTTTAATCTAAAATATCCCTAATGTTTTTCAAACTGGAAATGTCATTTATACATTTTAATTTAAAATTTACTTGATAACGGTGTGTCACCTTTGCTGAACTACTGTATATTGTAGGCTTTTTGTCTGCCTCTCTCATCTTTCCTGCTGCCTCCTCCCTAGTCCTATTTAGTGTTTATTATATGACTCCTTTTACATTATTTTTATAGATAATTAGTCCAACATATAAAGTAGGGAGACTCAGCTCAGCCATCTCATCTGCTTCCTTTCTCCAGTGAATTTGACACATATTTTTAAAGGAATATTTGGGAAAATGCTAGGAAATGTGACTTAGATAGTAAGGTTATTTATCATTCTTATCATTTCAATAATCTATTATCTTTTTTACAATTTCTATACATTTGGCTACTCCCTTGAACAAAAAACATGTTACTGATCTACTACTAATGATGTGACTGAGTATGATTTTGCTTCAGAAAGGTTCCTTCCCTTCTCAGTTCTGGCTATGTTCTGGCCTCTAGATTAAATCTCTAGTCTAGTCCAAAAATACTGTGTTTGCACAATCACATATGCCTGCTTATTGCTGACTCTTACCTCCTGGACTCTTCTTTCTCACTACTTTTATTAGAAGCTGTAATATGCTGCAGTCAGTACTGCATGCCTGTGTTTTACAGTGCCTGGTCAAGACTGTCAGGTTCTTGGTGCTTCCTATTTAGGGAAAGGAAGCATTTTTTGCATTAGTTCAAGATGTCCTTCTGTTCTGCTATATCTCACCCCTTTTACCACTGTGATAGTAACTGAATCCAGAAAACCTAAGAATTAGGCAGCTGGTCAGAAAATACAAGTACATCAGTTGGAGAGGAAACATATTCAGAAGTCATGTGAAAGGAGAGAGGAGAGAGAAAGAATGGTCTTTAAAAGTGCCAGCCAAAGGAGAGCAAAGGTGAGAAAAAAGGTTCTGTTCCGTGCTCACTCTGTCACTAACTAAAACCTTAGGCTAGCCACTTAAACCCTCTAGCGCTCAGTTTTTCCATCTGCAAAATGAAACAGTAGGATTATGTGATCTCTGAAGCCCTTTTCAGCACTAACAGTCTAGGACTCCATCCATGACAAGATTGGCTCTGGGAAAAGGTAAACAAGCCAATATCACTGAGCAGGAGGCTAGCATTTTGCTTGCCTATTGTTTCTTCTGATAAGAACAACAAAAGAAAACCCAGAGCCTGGTTCTAGTGTAGTAGCCATACCTATGACAGTTGCAGCAGGTTCCTTCATGTCAGTGGCTCCCTTAGGGTGCTGTGGCTAGTGCCCTGTTGTCCTCACCCACATAGGAATTAGCTGAGTCTGACAGCTTGAGCTCCTGACCAGCAGCTCCTCTACGTCTGTATGCCAGACAAGTGTTTGACAGTTGGGGTTCCTGCCTGTTGCTCACCAATGAGATATTTAAAACAGGATATCATTTCTCAAGTATGTGGATAGGCAATTTGACAAACACACACAGGGAGAGGGACTTGTTAGATCTCTCTCATCAGAAGCAATAAAAACTAATTTAGGTTTCTGTGTATCTCATTTTTCCACATTTCTTCCCCAGTTATTAAAACCTTGACCTTTTCTTCCCTTCATGCACTTCAGGTAGTTTTAGGAAGAACTAAAGTCCCGTCAAGAAGTCTGGGCGAGTTGTTAGCGTCTTGGGAGTACTAGTACTTTGAGACCCTGCTCTGGGAAGCAGTGCCATCTTTTATGTTTTTCATTGCTAATACTTACTGCTTACCTTTTTTTCTGAATATTATTAATAGTTGTAAAACATTCTTTTTATTCAGGTTTGGTAGCAGAAAATTATGTCTCTTGGTTAAGAATCGTGCATTTCTGTAAAATTTTGCATTATTGTTAATTTAACAAGTAGACTTATCCGGATTTTTAAGCATTGCAGACTATGAAAGGGAGCATTTTTGCATTAGTTCAAGATGTCTTCCGTTCTGCTATATCTCATCTCTTACAATCTAATGAGGAGTGTATGAAAGTTGAGTAGATTGTAATTATTGTTTTTTAAATTATTTTTTATAATTTTGTGTATTGATTAATGTAAAGATATTCAAGAGTCTGAACTACATTCATATTCGAATGCTCGATAGCATCTATATATTTCAGTACAATAACTGGCATCCTTAAAAAGGTATCTGGCCCTCTTCAGTGTCAATCAGCATAGTTTATCTTAATGTGCAAACCCATTTTACAAATGCTTTGCTTTTTTCAATGAAGTTTCTCCCATGCCTTAGTTGGGATCAGTGTTGAGAGAGACTGCTGGAGAGAGACAGGAAGAAGTGGATACATTTAGAAATCATATCCTGTTTCCATTGTTCAATACCAGTGCATTGCATATTCTACCCAGTTCTTTTTATTTTATTTTTTAAATTTTAATTGTGACATTTTGCGGGGGAGATAGCGATTGAGGTGGGGAAGGGGGAAACAGAAGTGACTAAGGCGATCGGAGTCTTCCAGATCTTTTTCCTTTCCTGCTGTAGTATTGTGCATAGTACGTATACTTTGGGGAGGGAGAATAGGCATCTTTTTACTTTATATTTGTGGTACTTTTCTCCTAAAAACTGACTGTATCTATATGTCTATCCTTAGTACATTAGTGGATGTGCAATAGTATCCTCCTAAGGAGTCTATATTGTGGTTTAGTCATGCACAGCTTTAGAAAGGTAGGAATAAAAGAAAGAAGTACTGAGGAAATCTAGTTTGTGTGCCAGATACAGAACTAATGCCTTAAATCCAACTGTCTACATTTTCTTTAGGTGGATTGTTTTGTGGATATATATTTATTTTTGTTTTACAAAAGAATCTATGTTTTCCCCCTGTTCCTGTTTAGGCTGACATTTAAAAGAACCAGAGAGTATATAATCTGTCACATTAGGCTTTCACTGATTGGCATCTGATTCTATCTGATGACAGTCTTGGAGATAAGTTTTAATGAAGTGTCACTGTAAGGATCATTAATAAAAAACACATGGAAAGATACATTGTTAGTGACCTGAAAATCACCTTTACCATTTTAATTTACAGTATGTATTTTGATGTGCCACAAGGAATACCTAACATGAAAAATTAAAATACAGACATCAGCTAAAGTTAGACTCTTTATTGTACAATGTGATTATATTGTATGCTTTAAAGGACATTTTAAAACATTTTGTTTAAAAAGTCACTTTATATTATTAGGGATTACTTACATTAAGAAAAATGGAATTTATCCTAGATATTATGTTTTGTGTGTGTGTGTGTGTGTAGACCTTTAGAAAATAATTTTAATGTACATTGTGCTTGGTGCTTTAGAACGTCTATCCATACCATTTTGTTTTTGTATTATGCATATCTTATAACAGTATTAGAAACCACTCCAGTGATATTTTCTTGAGGCAAAGAACATTAAGGGAAACGTTTGACTTAAGTTCTTTGATTGATCTTTGTGTGATATGGGGAACAATTTTTATAGTGCCTCACATTATATGGTAATTTTTAGAGGCTACTTTTAGTTAATAGATGCTATGAATACTAAAGTTGAATTATAGTTAAAGATAAAAATTGCAATTTATTCGTATGATAGTAGTATAAGATATTGTATTGCTGGATCAACATTTGATCTGTTCCTTTATTTTTAGAAGTCTGTCAAGTTTTGAAATTTAAAGCCTTTTAAATATGTTGAATGAGTAGAGTTGTATAATAAATATGGATTTATGTTTGAGCAAAGGTTTGAGAACTATATGGCTTAGAAATTAGGTGGGATTTTATTTTTAAAATTGGAAGGGAGTGTATTTTAATATTTTGATTGGGTTAGACTTGATCATTTATTGGTGTAAATGACCATGGACTGAAGATGTTGATACAAGTAATTTTTGAGAGGAAGTCATTGTTAGTGATCCTGATGTTTCATTTACCTTCAGCCCTGCTGCCCTTGGTAAACTCGAAAGTAAAAGCTTATTTCTTGGGTAATGTAAGCCTCTCTATTTTATTGTGTTTTTGTTAATTTACATTGCTGTCAGGAATTTCCCAAATCCTACAGTACTGCCTTGTGTGATGTATTATGTGTGAGCTTTGGAAATTCCAGTTTATCTATTGATTTACAAACCTTGGAAAGAATGCCAGTAAGTAACATGCCATACCCAGAATAGCTACCTTACTTAATCTGAAGGAATTGGGTAAGAATTAGGGTAAATCTGGGCAGGAACATAGTTGGATAAACTAGAGTATGAACAATGATTAAGTACAATTTAGAGTGAAAATTTCATTTTAGAGGCTATATGTATTAGAAACCCAGTTTGCCATATTCAGCATATTACCACAAATACTGTTGATAACATTATTTCTAATATTTGATTCAAAAACATTCTAGCAGAGGCCTAAGAGATAATTGGATTTATTAGTCTATAAGCTTATAGTTTTACATCATTGTCCTTTGGCATTTACTTTTGAAAGAGAATTAAAAGATTTATATCAATGTGTCTTCAGTGACAATACTACTTTGTTTAATTTAGAAATCCTGAAGTGATTGTGATTTTTTTAAATTGAATTTTAAGGAGCATTTTGAAAAGGAAGAGAAATGAGGTACTGGATACGAAATACATATTCCCAACTATGTGTGGACTTTAGAAGACTACAAAATGACAGACATGATATTTGTGAATCAATAAATATAAAAAAAAGAAGGGTAGAAAGAGATATTGAAAATGTAGTTAGATGAAATTAGTGGAGAGTTTAGAAATTAAGATAAAAATAAGTTAAGATGGATAAGTGAAAGTATAAATGGTGAACTAATTAGTTGGAAGAACAGTCTTTTTTTTTTCTTGCCTTACTGAGATATTAACTAATAGCTGAGGAATAGATTGTACTTAAGTTTCTTTATGGGCACCATTTGTTTTTATATTTGTTGCAAGTATAATAAATCTCTGGAACCTTTGACTATTATTATATGGAGCTTCACTATTAATGTTGTGTTTAGAAGAGTATTAGATTGAGATATTACATCAGAGTTTTCTTGTAATTATTTTATCATTACAAAGCTATACAATATAATGTTAGTATACAAAATATACATAATTAATATTTTCACTTGAGATATCTGATTAATATATCTGATATCTAAAGCAGTTTACATTTGGGAAGCCAATGTATACCGCAAAACTGTACCATAAATGTACATATTCTTAAAACTGCCTTATTTTGGAACTTTTATAACTTACACTGACATAGAGAGAATAGCATAATGAATCCCCATGTGCTCATCACACATTTAACAATTAGTACCTTCTATTCTTAGGTCTATATAATTTGAGGTATTTGTTTATTGAAATAAACTTGAATCTTTTATCCTATGTTACTCTGAAACAGTGTTAATCGAATTTTAAGAACAGACTCAATGTGGACTTGAAACAATGCTTACATTATTTTTAAGACGCAATATTTAAGTGTGACTGGTCATGTTGTTTCTTCTCAGCACAGCATTTATTTAAATCAGGAAGTTTGTTCTCAGTTGTTGGTAGAGTCTTTTGTTTAGTAACTCTAGGTTCTTCTACTTGAAATCTGACCTATCATTAAAATGGGAGCAAGCTCAAGGACAGCAGCCCGTGTTTGCAGGGCACAGGAAAACAACTGAGATATACCTCTCAGAGTTGAAATGATGCTAATCTTTTGTATGTCATTCTTTTAATTTGCCTGTGGGTAGATTTGGGTAAACTGGTAAGAGCCATTTTGTAAGTGAAGAGAACCAACTATCTTCTGGAATATTCCCTTCAAAGTTAGTTACTCAGTTACTGGGACATAATAGAAGAGAGTAAAGGAAGTGACATTCATTACTAAGAGCTCATGTAGTGATAACATATAACACCATTCAAAGCAGTTTAATATTTTCTGATTCACCAACTTCAGGGAATGAAGAAGTTTTCTTAGTTTTTATGAAAGAAGTTTATTTTCCAAAGTTAGTCTATAGGGAAAAAAATCCATTCATATTGGAAATTACTCTGTAATGATCTAATAAGTAATGATTAATGTCACTTTAATAAACAACACAAAATACTGACCTAAATCTCTTTATTTAAAAGCTGATGTTTTCTTGTTGTTTGAATCTAATTAAATGATTTAGGCATGAAGAAGTAAATACATTAAATAAGGCCTGCATTTTTCAGTTATGTAACTTTAAGTGCTAAACTTTTTTCTGATCCAAAAGGTTTCAGAGAAATATGTATAACTTGAAATATTGTGGCATTCTTTAAAAATACTTCTATTATAGATTAACTAGTCAGACAAAATAATAAAGTGATATAAAATAACCAAAGTGATACACTACTAATTTGATCTTATTATATGACTAAACTGTGATTTCTTTTCTCAAAGGGTTATATTTAATTCTTTCTGCCATTAGGAAACATCTAATTTAAGTGATCCTGCATATTAGATTGTCATATAGTCAAGGTTTCCAAAAGCAGGTAGATGTAATGTATACAGAAAAATACCAGTGTAAAGCTTAATCAACCAAACAATGATTGAACAAAATATAAACGTAACCCTGCAAAACAAAGGATCATATGATATACATGTTAATTTCAGAAATATTTATAGGATACTTTATTAATTTCAAAAAAAGTATGAATTTAATGTTAATACCAATTTGTTTGTAATATTTTTTCTGTGCTTTTCAATACCTATGTAGAGTCAAAGTGTTATTTGGCTTTTTATTATATGACATTCAAGATAGCATCAAGTAAAGCAGTGATTTTTCAATCTTTTCCATATAACAGCATACATAAACTAATTACTAAAATTCTGCGGCACACACAAATATATTTTTTGCCGATTTGACCAAAAGAAGGTATAGTTTTGATTCATTCACACCAGATAGCTCTTGTTGTGTTGGCTCTTGTCATTGTTTTATCTGACAATCTAAGGCAAAAGAGGTCATTGCATAGTCAGGTATTGCATGTTTTAAAAATTCTTGGGGCAGTCTAAGGCAAAAGAGGTCATTGCTCCTAAATAAATAGTCAGGTATTGCATGTTTTAAAAATTCTTGGGGCACACCAGTTGAAAATCGTTGAATTAAAGCAATGGTGGTTTTATTCTGATGTTGAAGAGTTTTTTTAAAATTTGACTTCCACTGCATTTATGTCACATGTATAATTTTAAAAAGCCATTTCTAATATGGTAATAATATTGGTCTTCTTATTCTACATTGGAGTAACTCCCTAATAGCAAACAACTTAATGTTCTGATTTGGAAGAACACCATGTAAAGGAAAGCTTTATCCAAGAACTGACTTGTGTTTTTGAACTTGACTTGTTTGCATAGCAGCTAAGCTTTTGGGTCTGGAGCTGGAACTGCAAACCCTTATGATGACTGTCAGGGGCACAACTTCAGCCTTTCTCTTCTGGCTCTGCACAGCAACTAATAGGGATAGCCAGGGTGCTAGAGATTAGAAAGGTGAAAAAGTCTGTCACCAGAGTTAACCGTGCTTTCCAATGACACAATTTTGTAGGATTCCAGTAGAGACATAATTAGGATGTTTTATTTTAGAATCAGAATTTTTAAGTTGGAAAATACTTTGAAAGTTATCTAATTCAACCCACCACCCTGTCCCCCACTTATTTTAAATATAAGAAAACGGAGGTGAAGTGACTTGCACAGTGACATAACATTTGTCGTAGCTGGGGCTGTTGGACCCCAGATTCCACACTTCTCTCCCAGCATTCTCCTGTTATATCATTGCTAGTGCAAAACTTTTTTTAAAAAGCAAACAACTCAAATGTGCTGCCTTCAGTACTCAGAATACTTGTTTACCTACAAGTTTGAACTCATTTTTTTCTAGAAAAAGCACATTACAGTTTTATAATTCTGCATTCTGAATATATATATTTATTTTTTATTATCTCCAACTATACTTTGGTATACAAATCAGTATTTAATTGCTCTATTTTAGAATAGGAATAAAATTTTAAGTATTTTTACACGTCATCAACAGCCTTTATATTAAAGGAAAATACCATATTTGCTAGATCTTTTAAAAAAGAAAATATTATATTTTTTATCACTATCATTTTATTTTCCTCTGTCAGGTATTAGTGATTTATGTCATAATGTGTTGGCAGAAATAATTCTCAGACCTGGCATGCACCTCTGCTTTTGTGATGAGGGTAAGGTTGAGTCTAACCATTCTAAAGGTTGTTGTAAACTATTGCATTATTAATTTTAAATAATTGAAACGTTTGTTCCTGTAGGTCACTCTCTTGTGGAACAAAAGTAAAATAATGGCAGTTTATATCTGTGGTACAAGCTGAGACTTGCCCGGCTGGGCTTAAAGGTGTTGCAGCACTCTTAGTGAGAACCAACAGAATGAGAATGTGAAGGGATTGCCCTTTATTCCATAGCAACCAGAAGCAATACCAGCAGTCATGCTATTATGTGACTTCTTAATCTGAATTCTTGGAAGGATATGTTGTTTACTAAATAATAGTATGAGATGGTGGCAGAATAGTAATTGCCAACATGGGGTGTGTGTGTGTGTGTTAGAATTGGAAGTAAATCTACAAGGTCAGGATTGAACTTAGTTTTGGTATCCTGTTTTGTGATGAAATGCACAGTTTGAGCACTAGCTCTGTTGATTATTTGAAACTGCTAAGAGTGACCAAGAAAATGACAACTGAACTTTCTAGCAGTAACTTGATGCTCTTACCAGCCTCATTTGTGGTACCAAATCTAAAAGGATGCACTTATATGAAACAGGAGTGTTTCCTATAGGGGAAAACCATTTGTCATTTGTTCTTAACAAGGTAAATCCCCACAGACCAACCTTTCTTGTAAAACCATTCCCTTTGGATTTATCTTTGCCTTCAATAAAAAAAAGGAGCTATGATAAACAAAAGTCTGATGAAATATTAGTTAGTTCTTGCATTTTTGCCTAGAAGTTTCTCATTCTTTATGATATTTCTAATGTTTCATGCTGCCGTTGCATCTGAATTAAGAGAGGCTTAGAATACAATGCATTAAATTGATTTTGCTTTCTGTTAATTGAAGGGAAGGGTTTTTTTCTGAGGGGGGAGGCAGAATTTAAATCATTTACTTTTAGACTTAACTATACTCCTGATTTGCCAACATACCTACTGGCCTGTAAAACAGAATGGAAAATACATATATTAAGAGTGTAATTCAGTTGAAAAGAGAGTGCTAAATACTTGGAACTTTTAAACTGAGATTTGAATATAGAGATTCAGTTCCCAGCATAAATAAGTACTAGACTGCTGTATTTCTTGGATATAAAGAGGAAGAATCTAAAACATGGAATGTGTTTTTAATATCTTATGAATTTATAATCTGGATAAATTTTTACTTAAACTATGTCTAAATAGGGATTCTTGGAATCTTCTAAAAAGAAGATACTTTGGATGTTTTCAAATAGCCCAAAGTTTTATGTTTCTTTGGGTGAGAATCTTTCAGGAATCTTCATTGTCTACTCATCAGAATCATTTAAGAAATATTTACAGATGCCACAAAACTTCCATTGTGCTGTGCGCTTAGGGAGCTTAGAAACTACTGTACATTTTGAAATATATATTTCACCACTCTGTAACTTTTTTTTTTTGCCAGCCTGGCTTATGGTGTTAGGCAATTGGTTAAGAGCAGTGATTTTCAACCTTTTCCATCTCATGGCACACATAAACTAATGACTAAAATTCTGGCCTGGCTGGTGTGGCTCAGTGGTTGCGCATCATCTCATGCACCAGGTAGTAACAGATTTGATTCCAGGTCCAGGCACAGGCCTGGTGTCAGGCTCAATCCCAGTAGGGGGCGCACAGAAGGCAGCAGATGGATATTTCTCTTTCATAAATGTTTCTATCTCTCTTCCTTTCTCTTCCTCTCTCTCTCTGATAAATTTAAAAAAAAAATTCTGTGGCATAGCAAAAAATATATGACAACTGAACTTGTCATATTTTTTTTTGCTGATCTGACAAAAATATAGGTCTAATTTTGATTCACACTGGACGGCCATTGTGTTGGCTATTGTCATTTTTTTATTTGACAATTTAAGGGAAAAGAGGTGAGTAGTACCCCTGACTAAATAGTCAGGTATTGAATGTTTTTAAAATTCTTGTGTCATACTGGTTGAAAATCACTGTTTAAGAGCAATAACTTTGGAATGAACAGCTCTGGGTTTGAATTCTAGCTCTGCTACTGATTAGTAGTTTAACTTTAGGCAGATTACTTAAACTCTGTGAGATATGGTTATGGTTACTAAAATATACCTTGAAAGATGGTTTCAGAGATCACATTAGATGACAAAGGCAAACAGCAGCACTACATCTAACATGTAAATGGCAGTTTCCATTACTGTCCTGATCCAGAATCAAACCAGTGACCTCTCAGTGCAACTGATCCACACCAGCCAGGGCTCACTGGTTGATTCTTGTATGTGCCCTGATTGGGTATTGAACCCTCAACGTTGGCATATCTGAACAGTGCTCAAACTGAGTTATCTGGCTAGGGCCACACTGCTCGAATTCATCTTTGCTAAAGTTAAATAGAGTGGTTCTTAACTTGAATAAGTTCACTTCTAATGAAATTTTTATTAACCCTGATACTAATTGGAAAATGTGATTTAGATATTTGTTTGTAAATGTTTGATCTTTCTAAATTTTTTTGTAAGCTTCCTGAGGTTTTGGAACTCAGCACAAAACCCAGTGTCCTTTTCTAGTAGAAGCAATCAGTGAATAATTATGAAGCCTCAGCTTGTTTATCTCTAATCAAATTATAGAATACACATTTAACCGTTTTATAATTTTGTCTAGTCCTGATTTTATACTGACCTTTAGAGCAATGCAGTTCTATTAGTCCAAATGGGTTTATTTACTTCCTGTTTTTTAAAATGGATTTAATGGCATGAATTCATGAATTTTGGATATTTCTTTAAAAAGGCATCAGCTAGTAGACACTAGATCAAGGTCTCATTTCCATTTATCTTTTCAAATGATTTTGTTATCTAACTCTATGTATATATGAATTTTGTATATATATATGTATGTATATGAATATGTATATGTATATGTATGAAATTCTAAACTTGCCTGAGATTTTTTTTAGTGTCTGTTAAGACTAATAGTTTCAGAAGTTGGGGAGTGCCTTTTAGGATCTATTATCTCCTTCCTGCTTTCTGCTTGTGGCAGGGTGTGGGTATTCCTAATGCTGCTTAGTAGGGGAGAGACCTGGGAGGCATTATGATAACTATGCTTTTGAGTGGGGGGCATGGGGAGGGTATTTTGAATACTCCAGACTTGCTGAGTTTCATCTTTTGCTACCTAACTTTACTGTCCTATTGGGATGTCAAAAGTACAGAATCAGGACCTGAGTTCCAAGCTTATACCAAGGCAACTGGTGGTATTAGAATGGAATTATTACAGTAGTCAGATCTGTGGTTGCATTTGTGATATCCATTAAGGGTTGCACTGTGGAAAGGTAGGGTTATCTGCTTTGATGTCTACTACAGAGACTTTCTCCTTAAAAAACTCTTTTTAATATTGATCTGGCTTTCATAAATCTGTCCAGGGCTATTTTTAATCAGGGTATTTTTATTCTGTACCATCTCTTGAGGTGATTAGTTTGGTAAGTTTACTACCAGTTGTGAAGTCATATTAACCTCTTTCCTGAGTCAGTTTCTAGAGTCAGTTTGGGTGTACATGCTCATTTTCACTTTTTTATTCATCCATTCATTTATTGATCAAATATTGACACATACAATATGGGCCAAGCAATGAAATTCTATGGAGAATACAGCACTGAAGAAAACTTATCAGATCTCTGCCCTTGAGAATCTTATATTCAAACAATTGAGGATGATGGAGAGAGAAGATAAATGAGTATTATAATAGTTGTAAATGATATGGAGAAAATTTTTAAAAAAGAGGGATCTAGAGCCCTGGCCAGCATGGCTCAGTGTCTAGCAGCGGTTCTCAACCTGTGGGTTGCGAACAATGAAAATACATCCTGCATATCAGATATTTACATTACGATTCATAATAGTAGCAAAATTAGAGTTATGAAGTAGCAACGAAAATAATTTTATGGTTGGGGTCACCACAACATGAGGAACTGTATTAAAGGGTCGCAGCATTAGGAAGGTTGAGAAACACTGCAGACCATTGGTCTGTGAACCAGAGGGTCATGGGTTCAGTTCCTGCTCAAGGGCAAGTATGTGGGTTGCATGTCCAAACCCCACCCCCAGTTGGGGTGCATGGAAGGCAACCAACCCATGTGTGTCTGTCACATTGATGTTCCTATTTCTCTCTTTATTTCTCTGTCTCTCTTTCTCTCTACTCCTTCCTTCCTCCTTTCCACTCTCTCTAAAAATGGGGAAAAAATATCCTCACTCCTTGGATGAGGATAAAAAAAAAAGTTGACTAGAGAGGATAGGTGATGAGGGTGGAGAGGTTGCAATGTTAAGTATGATGATTAGGAAGATTTTACGGAGATGACATTTGAACAAAGGTGACAGAGGTAAGTTGTGTATTTCTTCCATTGTAACTTTATCCTAAATAATAAAAGCCTAATATGCTAAAGTCCCAAGACAAGTCCTTTTCTGTGAGATTGCCCAGAAAGGATACATTTGCACACCCAGCAACATCTATATATATAAAATCCTAAACAACCGTTATGACCCAACAACCAGCCGGTAGCTATGACACACACTGACCACCAGGGGGCAGATGCTCTGACCGGTAGGTTAGCTTGCTGCTGGGTTCTGGCCGATCAGAACTGGGCAAGACGGGCTGGACACACCCTGGAGCCCTCCCGTTGTCCCTCCCTGGCCCCAATCATGCACCAGTTGGGTCCCTCGGCTTGGCCTGCACCCTCTTGTAATCCGGGACCCCTTGGGGATTGTCAGAGAGCTGGTTTTAGCCCAATCCCGCAGGCCAGGCCGAGGGACCCCACTGGTACACAAATTCATGCACCAGGCCTCAGATGATAACCTTGGTCGATGCTAGCCTTCCTTTTATACTAAAGAGTCCTAATTGTTTACATCTATCCTTACAGTACTTTTTTTCCCCCTGACTCTTTGTTGCCTTCTGTCATTCTTGTACTCCTTTCTCTGAATGTACAGCCTTTTCATTTTATGTCATTTTGAGGTGTATATTGATGAAAAAACAACAACACTCACTATGGTTTTTCTATAAGGAAAAAAGCAGATTAAGAGACTCAAAACCTACTTTTAGTTTTTCTTTTGAGATGGTAGGAAAGGTTAAGGTTTTCAGTCCACCCTACTTATTTCCAAGTTGGAGGTTGTGCTGAAACATCTGGAACTATCACAAGAATAGATCCTAAAAAATTGCAATATGAACTATTGAAAGTAAAATCACTATTAATACAGGCAAATTGAAATTAGAATGAGCTGACTGGTAATTTGATTGGTTATAGTCCAGGGGTCCTCAAACTTTTTAAACAGGGGGTCAGTTCACTGTCCCTCAGACCGTTGGAGGGCCGGACTATAGTTTAAAAAAAAAACTATGAACAAATTCCTATGCACACTGCACATATCTTATTTTGAAGTAAAAAAACAAAACGGGAACAAATACAATATTTGTATTTGCATGTGGCCCGCGGGCCATAGTTTGAGGACCCCTGCGTTATACCCTCAGTTTGCTCATATGGCTAATTTAAACTAGAGAAAGTATCTGTATACGATGGCTTCTGTGATCAAAATGCTCTGCAGTGTCTTAGAAAATGTGAAACTAGCATGTTATTGTTTATGTAGCATAGTTATCTGTCATTGTCTAGTCATCAGTAATCATGGATTTATGAACTGAATTTAAAATCTTGTGTATGCAAAATGACAAAAATGAGAGGTTATTTAGATAAGTAAAAGTTACTAATGGAGGCAGATTGAATTCTGTTATTTTGACAAATAGATTGTCATGCTGATATTTTTAGAATGAGGTTTTCAGTGTACTAATGTCAAAATCATATTTTCTAATTTCAGTTCAGTGTCAAATATTAAGCATATGTGCCTGTCATCCATTATGAAATATACAGTTTTGCAGTATTTGAGGCTATTGTACTATATTGTAATACTTCAAAAAATGGTAAAAATATATAATATAATGTGTGTTTTTAACATATTTAAGGAAGTAGAAATTGTTGTGGAACCTTAAACAAAAAAAAAAATCCCTTTCTCTGAACTTATATAATTATGTATAAGAAGTATTTAGTTCTAATCCTGGTTTCCATCATTAAAGGCTGGTTAAATGATTATATTTGCAAATGTGCCCAGGTATTTGTGTCTGAAGTGAGTCAGTTGTGCCCACATTTTAACAACCTGTAGGCCAGAGTTTATTGAACTCGAGAAAATAGTATTTCTGCCAGTTAAAAATATAAATAAATTAAAAATGACAGAAGTCTAATTTAGTATCACCACTTGTTTGTACCACCACTGTGTTTATGAGAAAATGTGTGAGCTATAAAAGACTTAAGGAGAGCAAATCTACTCTTTACTTTTTCCCCCTAACTTTTTAAAGTAAAAATAGAACAGTATGATGAAACAATGAAATGAATTCCCATGTATCCATCACTCTTCTTTAATAGTTAACAACTCATGGTTAATTTTGTTTGAGCTATACCCCTTATCTCCCCACCTACCCCTTGTTACTCCCTTCACTTTTTACCTCTGGAAAGAGACACAATAGCTGAGTCAGGCTCAGCACTCCGATGCCACTCTTGCTCCTCTTTGCCATGTTTTGTCTCCTCCTCCGTGGATGGAGGGATGGATGAAAAAAAAATCTTAAAAAGAATAAAGGTTAGTTTCCAGACAAATATCATTTAAAAATCTGAATTGTGAACTTTAATATTTCTAGTCTCAGATTTTGAGTTGGAATTAAATAGAATCTTCTAAATTAAATACAGATTCCACAAAGACATTTTTCTAAGTGCACTCCGAGAAAGTAACATTTACCTCTGTACTAATATGGTTTATTTCTTTTATGTTTTCTAAAAATTTTTTATGTATTTGCTTTCACAAAAAAAGTGAAATATATATCTTTGAGGTTATTGGCATTTATAATGAGATACAAGGAAATTTTCCCTTATATTCATAGAAAACACTTGAAGATGCCTTTTCCAGTATCTTCAGTTATACATTTTAAAAAATCAATTGATCTAATACCTTTTTTCAAGTTTTTAAATATATAAAAGTGAATGGTAGTACTTAAAAAGTGAAAATGGGTTTTAAGAAGTTTTTAAATATGTTTTTAATTGATATTACTCTTCTAATCAGTTGTTTATATTATATAAAGTCTAATACTGAAAACACACACAAACCTCTTTCTTTGTACATTCAATATCCTTTTGACTGTAGCTAAACAAATTATAGAAATAATTTGAAAAGTATTTGGGCAAATATTCTTTCAGCAGAAAGGAGAAATTATGTTATATTAATGGCTCCCATAATGATTTCTCTTTATAATTAGTAAGATGGGACTACTAAAACAGAATTCTAACCTTCATTTGTTACCAACCCTTATAATGTGAATTATCAAAGAACCTACAATTCTTGATAAAAATTTATGAAATTAAAAATAAAACAATTCAGTTCCTGTTCAGCATTTATTGAGGAAATTTGATTTTTTGAATTTGAAATTCGGTATTTGGAAGTGAATCAAATATGATAGGATGTTGCAAATCCAAGAAAACTGGAATGTGCAGTAAAAGAGACTTAATTCTATGAATGAATATGTTATTCTCAGTATGCCACACTGTATAATTGTTGCAGCTTCCTAACCAGAAGGCTCTTTCCCTCAACACTTCTACTATGGATTCCATTTCCATTACAAAGTCTTATTCCTTTTTTTTTGCCCCATTGCCTTTAATTAATAGTGCCTGACAGGAGACTAAATATTAATGTAGCCAGTTTAGAACTTTCAGAGCAGAGTCTTCAGCATTATTTACTACACTTGACTAGTAATTGACCAATTATTAAATAACTGCTTTAAAAGTTAACAGATTTGCCTAACACACTTCTGTGAATGGTATATTTAGAATCTGACTTTATATAACTTTTTTGACTACTGTGTGTGTGTGTGTGTGTGTGTAGTGTGTGTCTTAATGTTTTGTTCTTGTTTGGGAAAAATCAGTTTTCATTGCTTTAAAAGATATTTTCATATATTACATCCTGTACCTATAGACTTAAGTTAAATTTTCCTTAATCCTAGATGAGAATTGGAAAGTAATCAAATTATTTCATTGTCAAATTGAGTCTTCAAGTTACTGCTTACTTGGTTTTACATCATAAATGGTATGTATATCACTACATCTTTTAAGACATTTTTTGAATTGTTGTATGCCTTCTTAAGAAATAAGGATGATTCAAAATATAAGTATTGAATATAAAAATCTCATATTTTCCCCCTCATTTGTAAAATGAATCATGTTTCTTTCTGCGAATTTTCTTTCAGTTATTCTCTAACACATTCTTGTCTCTGTCATCCTTTCTGCCCCTTTTCTCCAGTTTGCTCTGGTCTGTTCTGCTTGTTATTGCTTGGCATAGGCTGTTTGAGTTTTAAACCTTCTTAGCCAACCAGTTCTCTTCCTGCCTCAGTCTCAGTCTTTGGTCAGATGGTTCCTTTGCACCTCTCAGCCTGCACCTTTATTATTGGATTTTTTGCCTTTTTTGGATAGTTATTCTTCATTCTTCTGTTTGTTGTTTTTTGGTACTTTTAAAGAAATAGTTAATTTCCTTTACTCTGTTTCCCATAGTGTGCAATGAGAAGAAAAAATAAAACAACCTTTGAAGGACAGATATACGTGACTCTTTAAAAAAGAAAGAGGTAGTGTAGTTGACAGGTTATTTTAGAAAGTACGACCAGCTCAGAGATAGAAGGGCTAACTGTTTCCATGAATAAAGAAAAAATCTTGCCTGGCATTTACAAAAACTTATTTTTAACTTTCTAAAGCTGCAGGCAGTATTAGTAAAATACATAGAGAGAATTAGTGTATCAAAACATCCTTGGAAAATATGGATAAAGTTTCATAAAGTGATTATTGAGGAGCATTTGAAATCTTGCTCCCTGGCATATGTCCTCAGTTTGGCGCAGATAAATTCATAAAAGTAAAAATAAAAAAGACTGATGATTATTGTAAAATCACATATTTTTATTTATCTGCATGACCTTTGGTATTTTATGGTAGACCAATTTCATCATCTTTGTCTTCAAATACTTTATGAGAAAGACTTAACCATACATAAAGAAATAAAAGTCAATATAATTTCTTTTTTTAAGGAACGTAGAGGTCCTCTCGTATCCTCTGCCCACTTTTAAAGTTCTGTTTCACACAATTTGTTTATCAGCATTTTATTGATAGCCTCTACTATCTTTCTCTTTTTATTTACGTTCAGTGCTATCTAGTTGTAATGAAGTTTTGTGAGTAAGTTATTGAGTGTTAATTTTTAAAGTTATGGAGAATATGCATATGATAGGATAGAATATATTTTAGAATTAATATAAAGGATGAAAAAAGTCATCTTTTTTATAATAAAATGAAATTTAGAATTTCAGCTTTTCAAGGATGTGTGTGTGTGTGTGTGTGTGTGTGTGTGTGTGTGTGTGTATTGGTGTATTGGGGGGGATGCCTTTTAGTTCTGCAAAATTCATGACTCCTAGATTCCTAGGTTAAATTTATTTTTCTAATTTTGGAATTTTTATAAGTTTATAAAATTGAAGTTACTAACTGCTTTCCCCCCCTAAAACATTCTGAGTTCATTTATATCCATTATAACCTTTTATAGGTCAATATGGAAATAAAAACTTGGGAATGGTAGGTGGTATAATTGAAATATAGATCATAATCTGTTCTTTGTTTGTTTTACCAAATTAGGGATTCTGAGGATACATTTTGAATATTTGTGTATGTTTAGCATTTTGTCCCTTTGTTAGAAATCTCTCAGTGTGACTTGTTTTTAATAGGATGTGTCTCCAATCACTCTTGAAAAGTATTAAGCCCTTTAAACACACTGGTCAGACCCATAGAAGGAAGCCTACAGGTTTATTAGCACTCCTTAGCCTGAAAGCACAGCATACCCTTCTAGGTTGCACAGCAACAGACTCCTAGCAACCATAATAGATTGAATTTCTAAGAGTGACCAGGCCGGATGTAATAATAAAGCAAGAGGTACAAACAGTTGTCATGGTTTTCTTTTCACAGTAAGTTAGTTTGAATTGGGAAAGCTTAGCATTTCAAAAATGGGCAAACTTTTTATAAACCCAGTACTGTTTGTGCACCAGACTTCTGATATTAAAATAGCAATAAACTACCAAAATTTAAAAATATACTGGTTAAAAAATAGTGTACTTTAAATAAAACAAATAAAAAAGGTAAAAGGTTATCATATAAAGAAGTTTTCAGGGAATTTTAGAAAAAACATCATAAACTTAAAATTGAACTGTAGCAAAATAATCATAATGAATGTGCTTTTTAAAAATAAAAATTGTAATAGTTTGCTTTCTCTGTTATTGGGATCCTTCATTTATTTTAATATTGCAGCAACTTTTGTTTTATGTACATTATTTAAGTGGATGTATATGTAAAACTAATAGTTATAATAAACTTTTAAAATTTAAGAAAATAGGCTACATGAACTATATATAAGCAATGTTTTTTGAAATTATGAACTAATAACTAATTTAGCAGATAAGTTATTGAAAAAGAAAGAATAAAGTAGTAAAATGTACAGTCTTTCACTGTGACAGTCAAAGTGTCAGTGATATTCCTAAAGGAGTAATATTGTGGAAGAATAAAGTAGTAAAATGTACTGTCTTTCACTGTGACAAAGTGTCAGTGATATTCCTAAAGGAGTAATATTGTGCTAGAACTTTGCCAACATTTCTGTTGTATACTTTTTAGTATGTGTTTGCCACATAGCCATGAAAAGGAGATTCATTCAGATACATTCACAACCTAAACCAGGAGGCCTCTATCAAAAGAAACAGACCTCATATAGCTGCTGGAGTAGGGAGTGGAACTACACAGCCTTTGACAGCAGTAAGCTGTAAATATACACACATGCTAATACCCTTGATTTGTTCATCTTTTGTGCAGCATTTGGAAAAGATTGTTAAAGTAGCAGTTACAGTGAAGAGTGGCAATTACAGTAAAGAGCAGAAATTAGGTATTTGTGACTTATTATATTTTATTAAAAGACGTCCTTATTAAAATGACACTGCTTACTCTGATTACTTGACAGCTGCCCTAAACAGATTAGAAAATACACAGCTTTAGCTAAAGGTAAAATCAACCTCTTTAAGCAAGTGCATGGCGTGAAACAACTAAATGGTATACCGTAAACTTTTATTAAACAATAAATTTGCTTTAGATAGAGATGTTTATTAGTGATTAAGAGGCATTCTGTTTTGCATTTCTATAACAGTTACCTACAGTTGCATTTTCCCATTGGGATACGTTAATACACCCACCTAATATTATACTAGCTTCCTATTAGAGAGGATCTTTTAAGAAGGTGTCAAAGATCCGGTGATCTGTAGGGCACCATAGCGAAGCTTTCTGTGGCTGTCTGATAAGTTGTTATCCTAATTTACTGTAAATATTTTTACAAGGCAGCACTAAAACTTTAAGAAGTTTTAGGACTAGATTATAGATTTTTGAAATATTTGCAGTTTTTTCTTAATAATCCAGTAGAGCCACAGCGAGTTTAATACTTAAATTTAGGTATCAGTTGCACCACATTGAATTATCTGCTTTTCCTAGAGAAAAATTTATTATGTGACTCTTGTTACTAGCCTTTAATGATATTACTGAAGTTTTACTGTTGCTTACTCTATGTCATGTATATTTTACATAGTGACTGCAGAGCACTTTATAGAACAGTCCTGCCAATCAATTATTCTGAATTGTAGTTTAGCCGTTAAGTAGCCTGACCTGCTACACAGTGTAAAATTTCATGACCTTGTCCCTGTCTCCTATGTCATGAGGCATGGATATGCACTGTAGTCCACACTATGAAATCACAGCTCATGCTTGAAGACACAAACCCAGGTTCAGTATGAAACAGATTTGTAGGAAAATTATTTCCCTCAACTAATTGTGAATATAGATTTTTTTTAGGACTGTCACAATATTAATAGAAGTCTGTCATAGTACTTGGGTGGTACTGTGAAATTTCCACAACGGCCCAAGCTGTGCTATGTGAGACACTCATGCTAATTCCATGTAGAGAAATATTCATGATTACTTAGGTGTTTAGCTTAAAAAATAATATCTGATAGCATGAGTTCTGTCAGCTCGCAAATTGGTTAGAAGAAGATGTGAGTCCTAGTCTTTCGAATAAAATCTGAGTTAAAATTCTGGCTTTGTCATTTGATAGCTAGTTATCCTTAAACTAATTGCATACTACTTTGAGCTCAGGTGTTTTATGTAAATATGGGGATATTACCTATTCAGTTTGGTTATAAAATGAAAAAGTGAAAGGTAAAATTATATATATAACAGAATGGGCCAGAATGGCAATCTAGAGTTAGCACTCAAACTGGTAACGGATATTGTCATTATCATCTTTCTAGTTTACTCCTTGTGATAGGATGTAAGGAGGGTTTCACAGGACAGGATGGCAGCTGAACATGGTAACATGGAACTGGATATAATTAGGAACAATATTGTTTTCAAAGAGGGATATTAAGGACTATATATTTTGTTAAGTCATTTTCAGTATTGGTCAGTGTAGGAATTCTTTTGAGTAAACTTTTATCAGTAACCCCTCTTCACAGGTTCAAATCTTGGAGCAGGATTTTTTTTTTAAAGATTGCAAGATCAATAATCAATAGGAAAAATATGCACTAAACAGATGAAATACTTATTACTCTGAACAAAAAGTAGAATTTAAAGAATAGGGCCAATTTATTTATTTTAGTAAATATGTACAGTGAGTCTTGTATTATTTAAACATTTAGTCTCTCTCCACATTTTTCTTCCATGGAAAGTCTAACAGCAGAAGTGAGTGAACTGCTTTGTGTTAGCACTTTACATGGTTGATATAAAATAACTGAAAATAGCCCTAGCCGGTTTGGCTCAGTGGATAGAGTGTCGGCCTGCGGACTGGGAGGTCCCGGGTTCGATTCCGGCCAAGGGCACATGCCTAGGTTGCGGCTTGATCCCCATTGGGGACGTGCAGAAGGCAGCCAATCAATGATTCTCTCAACATTGATGTTTCTATCTCTCCCTCCCCCTTCCTCTCTGAAATCAATAAAGAAATATATATTTTTTAAAATAACTGAAAATAGCAGT